AATTATAACGTTATTCATCCCTGGTGATAGCATAACAACCGAAACTAGAACCAGAAGGAAAGAAACCAAAACATTTTATACCTTATAGCGTTTATTTCATACTACAAAGTGCGAACGGCAGCTCTTATAGCGGAGGCAATGGGAAGTGGGTCGGTTTTAATGTTAAATCTCAGCATATAGATTTACCAGTTCGAGGAAAACGTTATGGGGGAGATAAAAGATATCAAAAGGGCGCCAACCTACAAAAAAAGTAGCTAAAACAACCCCCTAACGGTTTCCTCTCCCTGTAGGTCGGGATTTGGAGAAAAGAAAATAAAATGGCACAAGTAAAACTCGCTAATATATTTCTCACTTGGGTTCTGGCGTTTACCGGATGTTCGGCGAAATACAGGGTCTACAGATGTCCTGGTGTCCTGGACCGAAGACTCAAATCTGGAGCCCAAGGGTGACCTAATCTCTTCCAGGTTTACCATAAAGTTAGTTAATTTTGTGACTTAAAATTGCAGCGACTATCGTAATTCTTAGCTACTGAATTTTCGCTAAATTATCACTACGTCAATCTAGGAGACTAGTTACAATGAATTTTAATCAATATTCGTCAAACTTTAACGAACTAAATAATTTGAGACTTTCCTCAAAAATAAAGAACCTTATAGGCCTTTCAAAACTTTAAAACTTTTCAAAGCTTTTCTACTATTCAACTTTTATAAGAAATAACTGTTCTTAAAACTTTTAAAACTCTTAAAACTTTTCTGGTAAGCTCTGGTGAGAGAAAAAAGGAAGAAACAAAATTCAATTAGCACTTGGTTGCACAGCATTGAAGGTCATACAAAAAAAAAACACAAGCAAAATCCTAATGGCTAAAATCTACTGGATCGAATTTAAGAGAAAACTAGTAATTTAATATTTATTTAATTACCTTTGATGTACTTAGTCGTTCACTGGTATTTAATCTAAGTTAAACTAATCATTTTTATTATAAATCACACGCGAGCTAGTTGCTTTTACCAGTAGTAAAAATGAGAGGCTTTAAGTCACTCCGGCAAACGTTTTATTGATTCAAATCTAAAAAAACTCAATCGACGTGATTGGCCGGTTGAACGAAATACATTTCAGACTGGGCAACTGCTATTTAACCACCAAGGAACGGGTTCTACAACTGACCATAGCCTATGTCCTACCACAAACTATCCAGTCCACTCTGTGTCTTTGGGTCGTTGGTGATAGAAACAAATACAATTCATTAATGCAGCTAAGAGCTCGCCCTCTGGCGGTGACAAGTGATACTAGCGAAACAAGGTAAACATTTCTTCTGTGTGTGTGACATTTCGTTTTGTATTTTATTTAAAACTGTGTATAGTGTTCGTTTTTTGAACACTGTTATTTTAAGAATACAGTGTGAGGAAAACTTCAGAATCATGGATAGAAAGAAGAAACTGTCAAACTATTATTGTTCAGTTCAAGGTTGCTCTTCATGGCCCAAGAAAAATCCAGAATTAAGTTCAAACCATTGAAGAAATTTTCAAAATCAACGATAGTTTTCGTTGGCATATATGTAAATAGGAAATGTATTCCTGTAACGGATAAGTTCATAGTTAACATAATAAAATGTACATTAAATTGTAATGCTAGAGACAAATAAAGTAGACATAAATACTTGCCTTAAAACTTACTTATGAAATATTTGAAACCTATAAAATAACACAAAAGTCAAATAACCGCAGTTTGATAACAAAATTACTAATAATAATGGCAAATAAGACAAATGTTGTTCAAATGAATGTGTAAACACGAACGGCAATGTCAAAATTACCTTGTCTCGGAGCATACTGCTTTCGCCGCTTGGTGCGCTTGCATCTTAAAAATTATCGCGGAGAACCTTCAATGTATGACAACCAAGTAACCTAATTGTTATGGCTCCAGGTTCGGTTTACGAATAACAATACTAAAAGGAAATAATACAAATAAAAGGTAGTACAGTTAAAATTATACAATTACAGAACTATTACATTTCATACAACAGATTCTCCATTACAGGTAAATAGTAAACATTTATTACACACAGTTTATTATATTGATGTTCTATAACTAATTGCAGGGCATGACAAAGATTTACATGATGTAACAACAATACAGCAGTATACAGGTGGAAACAAAACTAACTAATAGTGATAACAAAGTTGAATTTTGTATCAAGATCTCAAGAAGCTGATTAATTGTTGAATTGTAGTTAAAATAAATAGTGACATTCACACAATACATATAGTGAATGTTACAACCTAATTAAAAATGATTAATCTACGCCATTGCATTTACTGTCATTCAGTATAACATTTTTTTTAGAAAAGTAAATATACCTAAATATACAAATATTTTTTATAAAATTTTCTACGAATAAATAATTTTATTTTACAAACCGATATCAGATATATTCCGTTATCCCAAAATAAAACTAAAACTTTAGCAGTGCTTATCCAGATAAGTCATTTACTATATCTTTGGAGGTAGTTATAACCTGACATAGAATTCTATATTATGTATCTCATTTTTTTTACTAATAGTCTTACACTCATTCTATGATCATTTTTTTAACATAATCTTTTATAAAACTAAACTTGTCTACTTGGATATTATAGGTTTTTTTTACTTCACAATGTCCCGTAGATGTAAACAATTTCGCAGAATCTGCGGCTAATAAATTATTTCATTATTTTAGAAGTAGTTTGACCTCTATAACCTGTTTTTTATAGTTATTTGCCAATAATAATATTCTACGAATACTTTAGGAATGTTATTTTAAATACGTCAATGTTTTATCAACATAAAACTACATTTTATGTTTCCTTTATTAGCATTATTAGCGATATATTTTAATTTGTTATTATTTCGTAACTATTTACCGTTTATTTTCTAGTTCCACTCAATTTAACAACGTTTTTACTCAATTGTTGACATGCTCCTGTATAATTCATTCATGAATTTACGTTTCGGGGTGAAAATATTTTGAAAATTATTTCCTGAAACAGATTTCATATTCAACAGATTAAAAACGATTTTTTCTTTTATGTGAGTATTCCCCAGGGATGACTGTGAAATATAAATTAATGTTTATTATTTTTATTCACTATTATATTCGCGTTGCATTCTTCATTAATCGAAAGGCGTTTGGCGATTGGCCAGTCACATAATAACATGCAAATACTACAGATGTGCATTATACCGTAAAAGCTATTATATTGACGATAAATTAATATCTAATGCCAGTTATGTGCTACTTATGTAACATTTATATAAGGTTTCCGAGGCGTGTTACTCGTTGATACTATTAATTAACCTAGGACCCAGTTTATATATTTGTTAGTAGGGTTCTAGTTAAGTTAGTAATTAAATTTAATGATTATTATATCGGGTGTCCCCAAAATGCACACGCAAGATTTGAATTGACTCTTGCTGAGAAATGAGAATGATCAAGAATTGGACTTTTCGAGAAGTTCTCTACGGAATATTCTCACGAAAGATTTGTATCTTACAATGCTTACAAAGTTCAGTTGACTTAAGAACTGAAGTCTACTGATTACGCAGAGCGGAGAGTTCGTTGAATGGATTATCGAACAACAACAAATGGATGCTAATTTTTCGAACAAAATCATCTTCAGCTAATGTATATACATTATCATCATAGAGCGTTTGGCGCGTTCAGACGAATATATATTCGTCTGAACGCGCCAAACGCTCTATGACGTCACGATGCGAAATAAGCTAGCGCGAGAGAATTTGTGGTTAAGTTTTCATGTGTCTGCCACATTCGATACTGACATTTGCGTAGCGTTGTGTCCTTCTTTTTGTAATTTATTTAATTTTAATTAAGATAAGGGAATATTTAGTATATTTTATAGGAAGGTTTTCAAAAAGCGGACTCAATCTGTGAACTGTGGGCGTTAGTACTGTGTTATGTATTTGTACAACTAGGAACAAAACTCCACTTTTTCTACCAACTTTAACACTTCTCCGATTATGACATGGCAGCTAAAAGTGATAAAACGATACTAAAATAAAAAAACTAACCTATGACATAAACGAGTTTCTTGGCAAACCCGTTCCGCAATGTGACGTTACTCTCGCTGGTCTCACTAGCAGGTACCGTTTATTATCTGGTTTATTTTCAAGAATAAAAAATAGTAATTTTAGTGGTTAGTACGTATTATTGTAGCCACAGAACTATCACTTTTTATTCTAATTAAGAAATACTGAACAGATGTACTGAGCTTAAAATAGAGACAATCACAAATTACTGTAACATTGTGTTTTATTATTTATTTAAATATCTAATCATTGTGTGAAAATTTGTAAAAATCGGTAATAATATCTTGAATGTAGATCTAATGTAAATCTCAACTGTTCACACAATTTGTGCCTATCCTCATTTTAGAAAAAATTGGGTAACTTCATGGCAATGATTTCGTATGGCATAATAATTTTTTATTTTAGTTGCAGGGTTACCAAATATTTTTTTAAATCTTCCAATTTTTATAAATACGTGTTATAATAATAAATATAACATGTTTTTGTTATTTTTCAAATAAATGAATCATTTTATACATTTTTGTTGACTTACAGACTATAAATTTCAAACTACATTTTCTCCAATTTTTCAAATGAAATATACTGTATTTGCTACTCAAATGTATACACTTTTTTATTCAGTTCGTGTATTTCTACAGTTCGCTATTTTCGACAATTTTATACATACTTTTTTACAAAAAAAAAATTGCGAGAAAAATTAAACAGGGCAACAAAATTTGACGAAAGATTACACCAAAAACCAGACCTCACTTGCCCAAAGATTTTTGGTGCGCAGAATCCAAATCAGGCGTCAGAATTGCTCCTACACGTCACGTTTCCGAGATACCCTAACCTAAAGGTTCAAGAAACATGTTTTTTCGGCAACCGTCCGGGAAGTGGCTACTTCCCGGACGCTTTTTCTTTGAGAAAGTAGCATTTTTTCGGCCTAGTCCGGGAAGTACGCACTTCCCGGACTAGGCCGGGAAGAATCACATCGTTGTTGTCATTGTGAATATGAAAATCTTGGAAGGTATGATTTTGATAAATGCAGTTGAACATTACCATAGCAACGAAATAACGACTGACAGCTATCTGAAGTGAAATTAGTTGACATTTTAATTTTCGAAAGTTTGCATGGTTTTTGGTCGCAATTGTCGCAATAAACTATGGAAAGCAACAGCGATAGTGAGTTTGAAAATGTGCCTTACGAAATTTCCAATGCAGCAGCTGCTGCTACAGCACAATTATTGCCTGAAAAATCAAAGTCCAGGTACGAAAACGTTTATGATTTGTTCACGAGATGGATGGATATGAAGAAATGCAAAACTATTACAGAGGATGTAATTTTAGCTTACTTGGCGCAAAAATCTGAAACTGTCAAATCCTCTACCCTGTGGAGCATGTACTCTATGTTGAAAAGTACCATTTTAGTGAAGAAAAATGTAAACATAGCCACTTTCCCAAAGGTAATCGCATTTCTTAAAAGGAAGAATGTTGGTTATAAAGCAAAGAAATCAGAAGTCTTCAGCAGCGAGCAAATCAACAAATTCATTAGAGAAGCAGATAATGAAACATATCTAATGCTAAAGGTAATTTTAACAAAATATTACGATTGTAGGATATAAAAGTATCAACTTAATTTGCTTCATTTTCAGGTAGCAACAATTATTGGGTTAGCCGGTGCGTGTAGACGGGAAGAACTAACAAAAATGTCAATTGATCTAATAAACGACAAAGAAGATATGTTGCTCGTGAAAATACCAGATTCTAAAACACATATTGAGAGAAATTTTGTTGTAATTGGGCAAGAAAACCTGCTGTTGTATAGGCAATATTTATCTTTACGGCCATCCCATACTCCACATAACAGATTATTCGTGAATTACAAAAAAGGAAAATGTTCGATTCAGCCCGTTGGTATCCACAGTTTTGGGAATCTCGGATTAAGAATTGCAGAATTTTTAAATTTACCCAATCCTAAAAATTACACAGGCCATAGCATGCGTCGAACTTCAGCGACGATATTTGCTGATAATGGTGGAAACATCACAAATTTGAAGAGACACGGTGGCTGGAAGTCTACCAATGTCGCTGAAGGATATATAGACAATTCACTAACAAACAAAATTAAAATTGCCAAGACCATTCAAAAATTATCAGATGAAAACAATCAATATGAAACGGAAACTTTACCTTCTTGTTCTGACTACAAAAGGCATTTAAATATACCAAGCATTTCAAACAAATTAAACCCTTTCAATATTAGCAATTGCTCAAATTTTACTATAAATCTTAATATAAATAAGAATTAGAATGTTTCTGTTAGTACCTATCTTCTGTTCGAATTTCAATATTTAATACAAATAAGAATTAAAATGTTCGAAATTTTGTTCTACAAAAAAATATAATAAAGAAATGTGTCTCATTAATTTGTTATTCTACATGGTTGCCGAAAAAATAGTGTACGCAACACGTCCGAAAACAGTTTTTTTGAACTCGCAGACTTCCAGGACTCGCCTACGGCTCGTCCTAGAATTTTGTCAACTCGTCCAAAAAAACAGTATTTTCCGGACTTGTTACGTAAATAACTATTTTTCCTATATTTGAGCTTATATCACAGAGCGATTTTTTTTTTCTGAAAACGAATCATGGCCTCTAAAACTACCACTCTTACCCTTCAAAACTCTTTTGATTGAATGAAGTTCGGTACTTTAGCGTTTTCATAACAGTGGTAGTAAAATTGAAAAAAGTTTTTCAGAAAGCGGAGATTTACATGTTTTTTGGGTCGCTCAATCCGAATCTGACCTCCAAATTATTCTATCACTTTAGGATTCTGAGATTTCCTAACCTAAAACTGCAAAATCAACGATTTTGGGATGAACTATCGATATCAAATCTGAAAAAAGCGTTTTAGAGGGCATGATTCGTTTTTAGAAAAAAAATATTTTTTCGTTGCAATATAGCAAAAAAACGTATTTATGCACTTTAGGTTAGGATATCTCGGAAACGTGACGTATAGGAGCAATTTTGACGCCGGATTTGGATTCTATGCACCAAAAACCTTCGGGCAAGTGAGCTGTGGTTTTGTGAAAATTGTTGCCCTGTGTTATCATCTGTGATACAATATCATTATGAGAAAATCTGGTCTTACAACCTACCATAGTCTAATTACATATTTTACATAATTAGTAAATAATTTAACATTTCTAATTGTTGTCTTATCATCAGTTATCTAAAAATATGTAAATGTTGCCTTTTCAGTATTCCCAATATTCAAGAGAAAGATGTTAAACCTGGTAACCGGACCGACTAGTATATTTCATTACAGCTTATTCACTTACTCATTTCTGTGTTACACTCTATTTTCCTGACTATTATTTAGGCACTGCATAAGAAAAGGCACATTGACCTCAAAAACTTGTTTTTCCTAAAATTATTGACTTTAATTTTTAAATGTCCAATTCAATTAAATTTGTTATGTAAATATATTTGTTATATCTGCTATAGAAATCTATGTAAATATAAAGTTAATTAAAAATTGCTAATTGGAATAATTTCTAGTTAAACTCGGTAATAAGACTCGTATAATATCTGCCAACTCATGTTTTTTTTTTAATTTTATATTGGTTTTGTATTTTTTATTCTGCATTCAACGATATTAGTAGTAAATAAATTGTGCTAAACATCACCTTTTACATATTGACATATCGTCACCAATTTAATAAACATTAATGTATGTGGTAGGTATTTTTCTGCAAATTGCTGAAAATATACCAACAACAAATAAAGTGTTCGCTACTAAGAGGTAATTTATTATTATCAATTCGATTTAATGTTCTTTCCGCTGATCCAACTAAATATTTCAGTTCCCAATAACTAACTGAAACGACTCCCTAGATACATCGTGCACGATTTCATTTTCTTCCAGCATCTCCTGTATAGGTTGTTATGTCTATACCTATACAAACACATTTAATTTATTTCGTTTATTTAGTAAGTTCTTATCATAAAATATCTACATTACAATCTAAATAAATTGTACCCATCATGTTTTTTTGTCACTCATTCAATTTACAAAATAAACAAATTACAAATTTAAAGTAAATATGGCAAAAATAGCAATAACTATTTCACTAATCTATATTTACCTTTTAGTTAAGAATCAAACATGATAAATATTTATTTGTTATTTAACAAGGTTTAGTTCAATTAACACTTGAACGTTGTTTCTTAGAGTATATTCAATTTCGGGTAACATCCAGAATTCTAAATGTACAAAATTCAAAATAATTTTACAGTACTGTGGCGTTATCACTACGTTCATCGACGGGAAGTGCGTACATCACTAATACAGAAACGTCAACAAAAAAACAAAATTGGCAAGAAAATTTTAATGACAACAATACCGACACTGCGTCTACTACTGCTTATTTTACGGTTACTGTGAAAATAACAATTCGCAAAAAGTAAATAACTGAACTATAAATGACGACAAACGCATTTATGTTATTCAAAACCTGCGACGATAAAAAATATTGACAATTTCGATTCCCGGTGATTAACACATTATTTTTAAACAGATTTTACACAAACATTCTATCAATATGAGCGAAGAGTACCTATTTTTTACAAAAAAAAAACTGAAATTTCATACTTTTCAGTCAAAATTTAAAAAAGTTATGGTAAATTTTACCCCCCTCCCCCCAGTATTGGAACGTATGTGATGAAAATTTGTGAATTTCGCTTTAGTAGCGGACTGAGCACATAAGAGTTAAGCTAGTTAGGTATCAAATTTTATAAATTTATCTGGACTGGTTTTGGAGTTATTTAGATAAAACCATCAGAGTGGCCCGTTTAAGTGGCTATAACTTCCTTAGGAAGAATTTTTGGACCCACGTTTTATATAAAAAAAAAGTAAACTTTTTCGACATGGAACACCCTGTAGAAATATTACCCCCTAATTTCGGGACACCCTATATTAGCAAATACAAAAACGAAGAAGCGAGAATTTTTTGTTTCATTTGGGGATATTTCGGGGGTGGACATGGTAGAACTTAGAAGAATTAGAAAATATGTTGTTACTATGTAACGTATCTGTAACTGTATCGTATGGAAATAATAAATGTAGAAACAACACTTAGAATTCATTCTTTTCTTGAGTTTAGAACATCCTAGAAGAATATAGCAGACATTGCTTTCGGTTGTTTATCTGTTTCATTTTTGGTAGATTATGGTGCCGATTTATCCACAGTGAAGAGACAATTAGGTTCGAAAAATTATACCAAAGATGAAAGTAAGATCTAAAATTCCATCGAGCAGAAGAAAAAACCTACTCGTACTCTGTAATTTTCAGAAACGCGGGTGACATGCATGCTTTAAGATCAACATTTACAATGAATTTAACAAACTGCATTTTTAATACTTATAGTAAATAGCTTAGTTCGAATAAAATTTGAAGAGTTTATATAATTTTCTCCATTATAGTGTTAGTACTGTAACGAACAGCAAAATAAAATTAACCTTCTTCAAGTAAGACTTTAATTTTTTATTTTACTGAAGATATTAGAATAAATATTTAAAGCTTAGGCCTTACTCTCAAACTCAAAATCATATTCGCGCAATATGAAAGTGATAGCATAGGAATATTTCTCATTTTGACTGCTTCAGGTTAAATTATATAAACTATAATCTAGGATTATTTAGAATTTATGCAGGCAATATTCCACATTCTATAGTTTTCATAACATAGTTAAGATTAATCCTGACCCAGTTGTGTGCAGCAATGTGTTTTGTTTGATACAATTTATTTCGCTGAAAGCTCACCCAAACGGTATGCCGTTATAATAATTCCATTTTAAGTATTATAGCTCTGTTGCCAATGTTTCTAATGTTCCCATATCACTGCTTAGTTTGCAGTGTAGTTAAATGTAGCTTAATCCATAGTAGAGGCTTATCAGAAGGTTTACTCCTAACTAGAGACCCCACCACAGTCGTTTAAATGAAATCTGTTATTCGATGATACGACTCGAAATCTGAAATTTCAGTATAATTCATGAAACATAAAATCAATCTATAATCGGTGAACTATCCTAAAACCTGAAAAAATCGTGGAAAGAAATTTTGGAATATGACTGTCCGTTTTTTAAATTTAGAAAAAGAGTGGAAAATTAGTATTACAAATATATCGGTTATTACAAGAACCAACTGGCTCAGGCTCAACCAGCCTGGGAAATCAGCCATCATCCAACATGTGTTAGCGGAAGGGCATACAAAAATTTAGAAGAAGTACGACCTGGTAAAATGAGTAGCATCGAACAACATTCAAATATTCTTGTAGGAGGCTTTCGGATGGGTAGAACCTGGTCACCTATTATAAAGAACTAAAGAGCAAGTAACTTCGTGAGGGAAGAATGCCCGACGCAGCATTGCGCAGGTCTGAAAAATACGCAACGGCACCAGCGATACCATAGATGAACGTGAGCATATCCCTATCATCATATTGCGCAAGCGTCCCTCTACTGCTGGCGTAGTATATCGCTTATTGTTAGAGATGGACCCAACAAACCCTATATGACTAAGCTCGACATGCAACGTTCTATCCAAATATGTAAAAATATACAGGGTGTTCCATTTAAATTAACAAAGTTAACGTCTGCGGCCATTTCGTTTGGACTTGGAATATTTTCTAATTACGAAATTGTTGGGCTAAAATGAGTTATGATTAAGGCTGTCAGAGAGAGCCGCAATTCAATGGCGTGCCAAGCGGGTCAGCCGAGACATGCGTGAGCCGCTGGCTCAGAATGCTTTTCACGTTCACATGATGTTAGTATACTGTTGGCTTTGTTATCGCGCCATTGTTGAGTAATTAATTCCTATCCGTTGGTGTTTATGGTGGTGTATTGTATATAATTTAATTTGTCGCTTTTTAATAAATAATAATGCGTACGCCTATGTCTCGCGGCTCAGTTCTGACAGCCATAGTTAAATTTTATTGTAGGTACAATCAAACGCAGTATCGTGATATATATTTCTGTAAAAAAACGAAAGGAGGGATGTTAATATAACTACGCTTTTTATTATACTGTTATACAATTAAATTATAATATGAAATACTTAGCCAATTAGTGTCTCTACTTAATGCACCTAAGTGTTTTAAAATATCTGGAAAGCATAGTTATCTCGACATTTATATTAATATCACATGAAGTGTGAACTGTGATAATTTTTCGTTAACGAATATTTCCTTTTACCTACTAACAATAGCGGGTTCGAGCTCCACGTGTCCTATTCAGGGCATGCTGCAGGAACTGCAGAATATAAAATTGAAGTATTTTTCTT